GCTACTTTTTTTAATCATTCTGCGACTTTTATTCCTGCAATACCTAAACTCTTCTTTTCTCAACCCCATGTACAATTCCTTGCAGTTAACATCTCTTCTCCTACTTATCTTTTCATAAATGGTAATTTCTACTATTTTCATTATGCCCTTCATATCTAAATTATTTTTCAAGTTCTATCTTTATCAAATTTTCGTCTGTCATAAGTATATATTTTTTATACTTCTCTTAAAGTTTCAAGTCCAGAACTTCAGTTTTTGCGAACTTTGTTATTATTGTTATTTGTTTAACCTTATCACAAATCATAAATATGAATTAATTTACCCACTTCATGACCTTAACACTAATAAACATGGTAAATTACAAGACAATATCATCTTTACCAACTCAATTAGTAAACTACAAACCTTCTCTTATACTAAACTTTGACTTGAATATAAAAGTATTGTGATAAATTTGATGTCTTTGTTAAAAAGAAATAATAATTGGATCTCGTCCCTTGCCTTCTAAAAAGTAACTTAATTAAAAAATTTAGACTATTTAAAGAATAAAAAAATATTTTAATGTCTATTAACAATATAAAATGAAAGCAGTTGTGAAAGTCTACAACTAAAGACAAGATTATGATTCGCTAATGCAATATTTAATATATTTGTAAATTCATAGTTTTTAGATTAATTTTGGATATTATTATTTTTTAAAAGATATGATGTTAAAGATATTAAAATTTTCATAGTCTTATTTTTAATTATCTCCAAAATGATCTGCATATTCTCAGCATTAAAAATTCATTAGATTCTTTAAACATGTATACAAACTAAAGGAGATTTTATATGATATAAAGCAAGTTGCAAGAACATAGTTCAACAAACTCAATTCATTTCTTATTTCCTACAAATTATCATTTTTCAAGTCAGACATTAATTATCTATCATATAAATGAGTTTAACTTATATATTTTGCACTACGTTTATGAAATTCTCACAAGAGAAAACTCTAAGAATGTTATTTAAGATGTTATATAAAATTAAACTTTAATGCAAAATTATTAGAGTGTCGAAAATATTTTGTAGGTATGTAAAATATACATTTTTAAGATGAATTTATCATTTAATAAAAGAATAATCTCTTGTTTTTTTAAAAAATATGATATATTATTAAAATTATTTGTATATTGATTAGTGCTTTAGAGGTTTTACACAAATATAGTTATGAATTATATTTCCTAATACTAGATTGCAACGCAACATATTATTAGAATTATTTTTATATTGATTAATATTTTATAGGTTTTTAACAAATATAGTTAAGAATTATATTTTCTAATACTAAATTCTATAAATAGACAATTAGTGCACTTCACTTATGCTACTCTCATAATAGTTAATATTGCCTTCACTATCAATAGGTTTTGTTAGTCTAAATATTCATCTCTCATAATATTAATGCGTTATAAAACAGTTTATCATGCATATTAAGATACTAGTAATCTTCTTCTAAAATTTATTCCTTCTTATTTGTCCATAACTTATTATCTTGAATGTCAATCGACGAATTATTTTCTAATTATAAAAAATCAATAAGTGATTTTTTGTAGTATACTTGGTGAAAATATAATTTTATAGAAATCTGAGTAATTTTTTAAAGATGTATAATAACTAGTGCACGTTGTTTTTAAGAATATGACAAGTAAATCAGTTTGACTTGTTATAGTCTTGCATTTTCTTTATTGTCATTCATTGAAGTGAAGTGTCTCAATTAGGGATGTTCTAATTTTTAATTATCTTATCAATATTATGTGATAATATTGTAAAGTTATGTTTTAATCACTAAAACTTATTTTTTTTTTTTTTAAATAATGTAGTTTTGTCGTGAGCCAAAAAGATAATTTACAATAACTTATTTATCTGATAATTATAATTGTGTTTGATAAGTATGAGTAGTATTTAAGCAAACCTACAATCTATTTAACCACACCTCCCACAAATGAGTTTGATAATGTATGAGTAGTATTTCCAATAACCAATTTGGTTTTCCATTCTTTAAGGGAACATTTTTTGGTTTTTACTTTGTAAGGATGAGTATCTTCGAAACAACTTTTGATTCAAATAATTCTAAACAAAAATCAGATTGCTAATATCTTTGCGAACCCCGTGTAGAGGCAGTCATATGTTTTTGTAACTAAGGGAAAAACTATATCTTTCAACACAAAAAGGGTTAATTTGTGAGAGGATATTAAAGATTAAAATTGTGAGTATTACTCAAATCAACTTCTTGTCAACAGAACAAAATGCTGCCAACACTGTCATAATAATTGTGTGCAAGGTTTTAAGATGAAGTTATTATTTGTGTTATACACCTTAAAGATGATTATACCGAGTTTGCATTTATCTCTATACATAACTTGTCAAATTATCTTGTAACTCACTATACAATGTGTAACGGGTATGCAAAGATATACAAGCGAAAATTCAAAATCATCTCTAGCTATTTTTGACAAAAGAGAGGAGAATGAAAAATCAAAATATATATTGGTCTTTTATTGAAATGAAAGAGGAGAAAGGGGATGCAGAAAGTAAGAGAAGGAGAAGTCTAATCACATTTCACTTATTTCCTGATATGGGTAAGAAAGAGAGTTATCCACACTTCAAATGATGGTGCCCAAATCCGTTAAATGGACGGGACTACATGGTGTAAAGGTTCAACAAAGACATGGGAATCTCGTTAAGCAAATTAAAAAGCTCTCTCTCTCCCTCTCATCATCAACTTTATGAATTTCCACCAAATATATTTGTATATTATATCAACCAAAAAGACAAAAGAACGAGAGAAAATGATGAATGAGAATAGCTAGTAGCGACTTTGAGGGTTGAGTTGAGAGGTCAGAGAAAAATTCATACAAAAGTAATAGAGTCTACATATGATACACACCTGGGAGCTTAAGCAGGAGAACAGCAAAGGGGGGCCACCTAGGGAAAGTCGACTTATACCGACAAAGAAATGGTAATACACCAAGTGTCAAACTAGCTTTGTTTCCTCGTTTGGAAATTCAAGGACGTCTCTTCCCATCAAACCAAGACACATATGCAGTATGATGTATGTATGTATATACGTACGTACGTACGTATGTATGTATGTATGTATACATCGGCTTCAACATTTACTAGTTCCGTACACCCTCCTAATTTAATTCACTGGTGCATACATATTTATATCGATCTGTGTCAATGAATGGGAAAATGACTCGTGATACTTTGCACCTGTCAACTTCAGGTTTCCTCATTTAGGAATGCACCCACAAAAGATGGGATGCTTGGACAGCACCCCTTCTCTCCACTATCTTTTCATTTATCTGTTTAATGTTTTCCAACTTCTCTTCATACTTTTTTCTTATCTTTTATTTATTTTTTTTTTCACTTGGCGATCCTATAGCAACAAGTGATTGAAGCCTGTTAAAAGTTTTGTTTGGTTGAAGCTGTGAATGAATTTCTGAGGCAATAAAATTGTTTACTTTGCTTTTGTCGTCTTCTTGGTGTGTACGTAAACTCTAAATAATTGTCTGCTTCTCTAATTTGTTCGGTTGTAATTGATATAATATTGAATTATAGTTGTGCATGGATTAATTGTTTTAAATTTTTATTATTAACTTTACAGACGTATTATAAAATAATCTGAATTAGTTACGAGTTTTAACTAATTAGTGCAATTGTTCTTGATTATATTTAGAGGGTGGAATTTAATTTGGTTGGTAATATATCTTTGTGATGCGAAAACATGTATAAATGAAGAAAAACTAATAAAATATCGTTGAATTTGTCGAATAATATTTAAAAAAATTAAGAGAATTAAGCTTTGAAGTTGTTCTTTGTGTTTAAATTACTCAAGAAGATATTTTCTTTTTGATGTCTATATATATATATATATGTGTGTGTGCATTATTTATATGTAAAAATAAGTAATAATAAGTTTTATTAATAATTTGAATTTGCAAAACATGAACTTATAAAACTTAATTATAGTTCCAAATTTATTTAAATTTAATATTTTTAATGTGTTTTACCTCCCCAAATAACTATTTATTTTCAATAGATTTTTAAAATATAAATAACGAAATTAATTAAATTAAATTTAATGAAAGTTGGTAAAATAGTACAAATGTAATTAATTATTATAGGGGTTTGAGCAAGGATTTATTATTATTATTATTTTTTTCTTAAAGGAAAATAAAACTTTATTTATACTGAAGCAATAAATAATTAAATTTTACCACCACCAACACAGCCATGACTCCTAAAAGCAAGAAAGAGCCAATACAACAAGGGGTAAAAATGGAAATCCATGCTGCCAATGAGGATATTTTAGTCAATTAATTAATCAATATTTACTGCACTAATAATTAAATTTACCACCCTTAGGCCTCGCCATTAGGTAGGGAAGCATATGTGTATATATGTGTGTGTGTGTGTGTGTGTGTGTGTGTGTGAATGTAGATATATATGATCATGGGATTTGGACGGATCAAACGACGTCGTGTGAGTGTCGTATTTAATGGGATGGCAGAGTGAAAAAGGGATCACAGATGGTGAGATATTGGTCAGTGTGGGAAGTGTCAATTTAGTTTAATGAATTTTCAGATCTTACACTTTTAAAAAAGACAAAAAGCCCGTACAGCATGTCTGCTAAATTTACAGACCTTTCTAGCACATTTAACCAGCTCAAATTACCCCTATTATATTGTACATGTACATAATCTTTTCTTCCTCCACGCCTAAAAGAGAATCTCCACCATTAAAACCTTCTTGTCTTCATTCCCCAAGCAAAACCCTAAATGGCCCCAAATCCAACTAAATATATTTATCATTCATATTGAGTACATACACATATACATATATATTCTCTCTCGGTATCATCATCTTCTTTAGTTTTGACAACAATGGACCTAGAAGAGAAAGTCTCCATGGACCTGCAAGCTCCACAACCAGAGCATCTTTGCTATGTGAGATGCAACTTCTGCAGCACTGTTCTTGCGGTAACTCTACTCTTTGTTTGGCTAGCTTACCTATATTTATATAAACTCAAAAAACTTGTTCATTAGTCAAAGCGCTGAAAGAAAAGAATGATAATTTGTCTCTGGTCTTTTGCTATAAATAACCAGATCTTTTTCATTACATCTGCAAAGAAAGTAAGCATATGTTTACAGAGACAATATAGTAGTACTGGTGGGTTCTTACCTATAAGACTGGTGAAAACTTCATATCTATACATACTTCTAACTATTATCTGATGATTTAACTATGAAAGATCAAAGATACACATACATATATATACATCTAGGCGTATGTTTTGTTTAACATATATATTAATTAATGTGTTTGTTTGTGTTGTAGGTTGGGATTCCATGCAAAAGATTGCTGGATACTGTGACAGTGAAATGTGGTCACTGCAGTAATCTCTCATTTCTCAGCACTAGACCTCCACTTCAAGGCCAATGTTTTGATCACCAAATGAGCCTAAGCCTTCAGGTACTTATCATATGTAAAACACCAAGAAAATTTATTCAACTTTCACCAAAGGAAAAAAATCAACAATAAAATTATGTAGTAATTATTTCGTGATTCCATGCAGATGCTCAGCTAGATTACAAAAGAAAATAAATATATATATGGAAGGATAAAAAGTTTTAAAAAATGGGATATCATAGTCAATTAACAGTGCTAGAAGCCATGGTATTGGATATTTTTAACCATCTGATGTTATTTCAAAGAATAGTAATTTTTAGAAATTACAGCATAAATGTATACTATATACGTATATGAAATGACTAATATCTAAATTGGTGACTGACTTGAGATGTGTCTATTGCAAGGAGAAGCAGAGTTTTTGTAGCGACCTGAAGAGGGGCCAGTCATCATCGTCTTCATCATCCACGTCGACGACATCTAGTGAACCATTGTTCCCCAAGGCACCTTTTGTCGTGAAACGTATATAAAACCTTATTCTTGCGCTGTATATATAATAATCATATATATATACATTCTAATTTATTTTGTTAAAAATTAATACTTGACATACTTACATCGGGTAATGAACTATTTTGCAGCACCTGAGAAGAAACACAGGCTTCCATCTGCTTACAATCGATTCATGAAGTAGGATCATCGCATCATTATGTCTTTCCCTTCTGTTATTATGCATATTATATAGCATGTGCACGTATATGATCCTACCAACATATATGATCCTAGGAAATGGATTTCCCTTTCTGGAGATTGACACTAATATTAAAAAAAAAGAGATGAAAGTTTTTTTTCATTAAGTACTAATCATGCATCTTATACACACGCACCATGATAAAGGGAGGAGATACAGCGTATCAAAGCTGCCAACCCGGAGATACCACACCGAGAGGCTTTTAGCACAGCAGCTAAAAATGTACGTTTCCTTCACTTTCTGTTTCTTACTACTTTCTTTTCCTTTTTTTTTTTTAATGTAAGAAACTCTCAAATACATTTTCTTTGAGAAGGATTTATATCTTAAATTAAGAAAAAATTGGGTTAAATTTCTTCTGGTGTATATCTGACTTGTCTTGGGATCGTAGTGGGCAAGGTACATTCCAAATTCGTCAAGTACTGGATCTGTTTCTGGAAGCAGCAACGCAGTAAGTGGATCAAATTAATTCTTTTTTTAGTTCATCTAATTGGAAAATTATATCACAGTTGTTTTCTAGTACAGGTGCTGACGATTGTGGTGTTATATATAAAACTAGGGTTTAGAGCTTGGAGGGATGAAGTAGCATGTCGCAGTTGGACAGATACGTACGGCGGGATCAGCGGTAAACCCAGATTGATGCTGATCATGAGCTTTCAACATTAATTATAATTAGCTGGTTTAGTTTAGATTAATTAACTTGAAACTTGTTTTTCTCGTCAGATATATGATATTATATCATGCATGTTTAGTTTTTCCTGTGCCATTTGAACTGGGCATGTATGTCAAATTAAGTTTCCTATATTATTTGATGCCGTGAGTAACTAATTAGGTTTGAACTTAATTAATAGCTAATACCTGTCTATTCGCAATTTAAGAAGGAAAATATCGTAAAATTAATTATATAACCTATAAATAAGCATAACTAAGATAATTAAGAACTAAAAAAGTTAATTAACAAAAACATCATTCTAATGTAGTCTTGCCGAAAACCCTGGGAGAAGAAAAATTTCCCTTTGCCTTCCTCTTCCTCCAAGTTCATAGGTTATACATCAATAATTGGAAAGAAAAATGTTCTTCTTCTTCAACTCTTGGTGGAACCTCTCATCCTAAGAAAATTTCTCTCTCCCTCTCTCTCTCTTTTTTCTTCTCTTGATCTCTTGAGAATACGTAAAGTAAAAATCTCTGTAAATTTTAGGTACAAAATTTCTTAGAATCTAAGCATATTATAGGTACTCAAGTGAGAACTTATATTATATCATAGAAAAATAAGAATGCATGAGAAGCTAATAAGTTTTCAAACACTCTCCAAAACCAATTTCAACCCTTTATTCCTTTCATATTTTCGGCCAAGGATATATTCTTTTCCGTTTTTATCAGTTTTAATCATTCTTACTATATTCATTCGTTAACGGTATATTTTCAAATATTTCTATATTTTAGAATTTAAATTTATTTAAACATTAAAAACTAGTACAATTACTACTAATGAATTAATTACTTTAACAACAATTTTTGGAATAAATATTGAAACTTAAAAATTGATTTTAATTTTAATTATCTACATAAAATAACCAAAATCTATGCTGCTATTATCCATCTAGCAGCTGCCCATACTAAGTCAAAATTTTAAATTTTGTATTCTATTCTTACAAGAGTCAATATCATATTTCAGCTATTTGATCTCAAATAGCTTGGTGTATAAAATTTGATCACCCTTTTGACTGTGGTGCTTTTCTCTTTTAGTACACAAGATTTATATTGGTTGGATTCCTTAGTACCATCACTTTCTGCTGGAACATTACCAGCTTTACTGCTTTTCATTTTCATTTTCGAGAGAAGGATAGATTCTTATTAGGAAAAATATAAAGCCAACAGGGAGGCCAAGCAGAATCTTAAAAGATTGTACAAGTAAACCTAAAAGATTGTACAATAGGAGATTTACAAGTAGAATCTTAACCCATCAATACATTAAGGATTATAAAATGCAAGGACACATCCAAGATGGTAGTATAATTCATATCCATGCTTGGAAGTTCCAAGCCCAGTTAGACCATCCGCTAATGTGTTTCTTTCCCTGTTGATGTACCTGACTGAGAATGACTTCAGTTTCTGCCTAGCTTTGATTACTGGTTGACTCTATTTTGGATTTAGTATAGGAATTGACGAGTTTGTTTTTTTGAAGTTTTCAATAGTTGAACCAATTAAATCATTTTTATTGTATATATAATTTATCAAAATAAATTAATAACTAATTTAAATAATATGTTTTTCCAAATAATTTTAAAATTTTAAGAAGTGTAAATAGGTTATATTAATATAAATACGAGTACAAGACCAACTATTTTGTCCAATGATTTATGTAATTTCTCCACGGATGTCAGAACGGTTAGAAATTTAACATAATTTTAAAAATTATTGGGATTTCCAAAAATCTTGGATAATTTGGATTTGTATTGATTGAAACAAGACATAAATAATGAGATTAACTAAAAGAGGAGTTTAAAGTTAATTAAAAATCAAAAGCAACGAACAAAATTAATCCAAGCTATTAGCACCAACATTTCAAGAGAAGTCAAGAATTCATCAAATACCATTCTTTGTATATAAATGGTTGAATGTTTTCTTGGAGATCAGCATTATAATGACAATAAAAAGCAAAATACATTAAGATCTATTTTGTTGGAATCAAATGTCTCCACATACAAAAATTCAAGGTCATCATGTAGTTTGTCTCTCCATTATCCATGTATGACATGAATTTAGCATGAAATTTCTAGAAAATTGGAACTAAAATGTACACCGCTAATTTTTAAGATTTGTTTTGTTTTTAGAATGAAGCTTATTTTGATTTATGCTCTTGAACCCAATTTTCTTTTTTTTTTTTTGGTACTTCCTTAAACACTTCTTGACTAAATGATATATAAACAACGTGTATGGTATACAAAGGGTAAAATGAAATTTAAAGAAAAAAAATGTGAACTCTCATGTCCGACAACTCCCGATGCAAATTAGTTTTGATTAATTCTCTTTGGTATTTGTAGTTTGCATATCTTGGTGTAACGCTCCTTTTTTTTTCTTCAGCGGCGTTGTCTCAACTATATTAGCATATAGGATACCTGTATTTCATTTCAAATCAATCATACATATAAAAAAGATACTGAAACTAATTAATCAATTTTTAAAAGAAATTTTCAACTGTAGACGCATCAATATAATAGCTTACAAATTTTATAAATTCCTGTTTTTACACATGATTTACATTACTACTAAATACGTAATTATCTCGTTCTACTAGTCGTAAACTCTGATCCGTTTCTTATATACGATAGGTTTGTAAACCTACAACTTCATCTAGTCTCCAGTCCTACTTCATCTGTAATTGATAGAGAATGAGTACATACAATTTACTACAATAAATTTAAATCACAAATATAGCATGTAAACCCAAATAAAAAGCCTATTTCTTCTATGTTTTCTCTTCCCGGTACCTTGGTCATGCTTTCTTTTTCTACCCACAACCCCAACTACTACTCATTTAACT